TCTTTCAGTGAACTAATAGAAAGTAGTATAATTATAGCTATTTTGTGGAAATATATTTTTTATTTTCCCTTCTGTTCTTTTTCCCATCCCAATTGTTCTTTCCTTTTGAGCAGTTTCTTTCCCTTTCACAGTATCTATTGTACCTGTCCAATTTTATTTGCTCTTTCAGGTTCTTACACTAGGAAAACAATCCATTTGATTAATTCCTATCTTGTAGGATTCCACAATACCTTGCTTTGGTGGTTGGAGGACTCCCAGGAGTAGCAAGGCCTTAGTAGAGGGGGTTCCATTGTGTCCTTGGTCCTAAGTTTGCCATGTGGGTCTTCTTAACTCTTCCCTCATTTTTTAAAGCTATGGCCTCTACGCTTCATTTGTTGTACCATAGGTTAGTGAAATTAGCCTCTTCAAGTGAGAGCAGTAGATATTAATCCTATTTTCTGAATATCCTATTTATGTTGAAATATGAAGTATGAACAGAGAACAGCTACCTTTTATATTTCAAAATATATATTTATATGTTATTTTGGTATAAAATGATTTATCAATAATAAATTACTTCTATTTCATTATTAAATATTAAATAACTTTAATAAATTATCATCTAAATTTGTTATTTTTGAACTAAAGTGTCTGGATCATTATGTTTTTAAAAATTATCTAAAAGTACATTGAAACTCTCATTTTTGTATAAGACAACTTAGTAGTTTCCTTTTAATAGGTTTACATAGTGTAACAGCCCACTATAAATGTGGCATCCATCCAAAAGTATTTGTTAAACATGATGGAACTCAAAACCTATCAAGCAAGCTCTAATCTAGGGTAACTCCTGAAAAAGAGAGCCTCTATTTCTGATTTCACATTTGGAGCCATCTGTAGTAACCAATACCCTATTTCAGATTAATTGATCAGCTCTGTCTTGATCCAAGAGAAGTTGTGAACTGATCCTACATACTGAATGGCCAAAAGGGGAAGAGGAGACTCAGAATCCTGGAGAAATGGGAACCTGGTCACTTGTGAGTCTTCTAGATCAGGAAGCTTGGCTAAAACAGCTATGATGCATCTATAATAGGACCCAATCACGGGTCTCAAGTTTTCTATTCTTTCTAATTCAATCTTTGGATGTATTCTTAAAAAAAGATCTAAAATTAATTCAGTAACAAGATTCAGTTTTTAATGTAACAGTGCTCCCAGACCAAGAACTTTATTCCATTCATGGCACTCTAAATGATAACAGCTAGACTTTTTCTGTCACAATCATAAAAGAACTCTAAAATTCCATACAGTACCAAGTCCATTAACAGCTGAAGGTGGAGTCCTCACATTATACAAAGATTGCCATGGATGAGAATCTATTGCCAACTGTATTGTGCATTGAGAGTGCAGCAGTTCCTGAAGGAGGACAAAATGGCCCTTTACTCTTATAGACTACAGAGGGATATCCTTATTCCACTGGCTTAAGGTCACACCTGAGAATGGTCTGGGGCTCATCAGTAAGGTTTTCTGAAAGGCCCCCCCCCAAAAAAAAAATTCCTTAGCTCAAATCTTAAAAGATGATCTGGACCACAGCTTTAGGACTTCAGATCTCCCTCCAAAGATCTTGCCCCACCTTAAGTTTTCAGTTGCTCATAAGTTGGCCTTCTGAACACACACAACCATCAGTGCAGAGAAAAGATAAAAGAAAAGAGTTTTTCCCCATATGGACTATCAAATGTATCTAAGTCAACATAGAGAGAGCCAATAATATAAGCAGTAAAAACAATTTTTCAGCAGTCACGGAATACAGAAAAGACAAGTTTGTTCCATCCAGGGTACACTTTGAAGTGGAATAAAAGATGAGCTTTTAAAAGCAGAGGTATGACACCAGGGCAAGAGATTTGAGATTTTCATAAAGATTTGCATGTTTGGGATGTGAGTCTAGGCAGCAAATACAGTTATTGAAGAATGTCTTTTCCTGGATTGGCTGAAGCTGGAAATTCGTCTTATGTGAGAAAGTAGGACAAGGCCACAGTTCCTAAAGCAGTCAAGCTACCTCAGTCTTGAGAAAAACATCCTGTCTGAGCAATTTCAGTTGTTAGTCCTTAGGAAATCTTGTGCCTTGTGATACTAGCATTGCAAAGATATAAATAAATGGCCCTAGAGTTGTTGTCCAGATCTTTGTCCTTCTGATAAGTAGGACTCCACTTGATCTCACCCTTGATATCTTGTCTTTATTTTCCAAATCTCCTTGCCATTTTCTCCTGGAGACCACTGAGAGATCATTCAGCCAATGGTAGATACTCTGGGACTATATACATTGTGTTTAAAATTATATTTACAGGGACCAAGCAGGAGAACTTTTGGCAGAGAGGTCCACTTTAGGACTGGGCAGTGAAACTTTCAGTGGAGAGGCCCAGTTTGGGATGGAGTAGTGGAACCCCGTTGGAGGGACCAGGGAGCAGAAACTTTGGTGGAGAAACACAGTTAGCTAGACCAGGAGCAGAACATCAAGCCAGTAGCACACAGAAAATTCACTTCCATTGGCCACAGAAGGAAGAATCTGAGCACAGCAGCCAGACACAAGCCAGGTCCAGCTGGTCAAGTTCGAGTTTGGTAGATCCTAACCCAGTTGTATCTGCTCAGCATAATGCTAGGCCCAGTGGGGTACAGACTTAGACCCAGATATAGGAGCATCTTCTTGAGATAGAGGTGGCAACAGGTAACTGGAGTGAACTAGTCTGCCTGGAAGACTTCAGGTACATCAAGGGAAGGTGACCAGACAGTACTTAAGGGAACTGATTTTAATACAAATTCTCAATTTAATATCTGCTTAGTTATATAGTCATAATGTTTGTGCATATGGTCTAAAATAAAAACCCATTAGTTA